TCCGTGAGCCGTGTCCACGCGGCGCCGGCGTGCGCTGCGTGGTGAGCTGGAGCTGCCGTTGATGCTGTATCTAAAATGTCCTGGATGATTGTGCACTGCTGAGAGTTCAGTGTGTGTCCGCACTGAATCTATTGTTCGATGAGAAAATAAGAAAGTCCACAAAAGAGCACTTGATAACTATCCGCACTTCAAGACGCGTGTACTACGTACGGTCGCTATGAGACAAAGAGCGCCGGTAACGTACGTGAAGTCGCGCGGTCGCCTCGCGTCGCGATCGGGCATGCGCGGGCAGCGCTCATGCGGCGCTGCACGATCTGACCCGGCTGATGCTGCCATCACGCCGGGGATGAAATAAACGAGATTCAAATTAATCTCGAACAGTCCGTTGTAATAAACAGTTCACAGTTTTTTGTGTTTATGCTTTTATTTGCACGTTTATCACCCGCCACAAACTCTCCGTTGAACATAGTATTCACCTTTACACAATTATAGCGTTCAATAGCGTCTCGGACGTGCTCGATCACGATATCGCGAGCGTTCTCGAGAAATTTGCGCGGTTCAATGTACTCCGCGTTAATCACCGCACCGGTAAGCACGCGGTTTTCGAACGCGGTGTCGATCTTGCGCCACGACAGTTGTACTCTCGAAGAAGTTCCAACATCACCACCCCCGAAATGTACGAATCTTCTTTCAACTTGGCACTTGACACTCTCGAGTCGTGCGATTCGAGTCACCAGCGATTGTCTGTTACCGATGGATAGCCTCGGACGTTTGACGCGACTGTGTTCCTCTAGCTCTGCGATACATTCGTGGAATTGTTGTAGCCACCCCAAATAATCACCCAATGTGGTGATCCTGTGGGCTCGTTCCACCAGATCTTGCTCTCGTTGTTCCATGTTGCCGCGCTAGCGTCAGACTTTATACTGTTTCAGACTTTATACTGTCCACAATGTTTTTCTTCTCAATCTCGTATGAAATCTCCTACTGTGGTGCAGCAGGCTTCCGGACGGATTATATATCATAAAAAAGTCACTGTCAGCAGCCAGGTTTAGGCGCTTGAACCCGTGACTCATAACATGGAAAATAAGAATACGCGCAGCTGTGTCGGTGGTAATCAGAGGCATCTTCGGTGATATCTATTACATGCTAACGCAGTAGGTGCGAGTTTAAACGCGGAACTCTCTGACATCATGCACGTAGACAAGAAAGACTTTGTCAGCAGCCAGGTTTCGGCGCTTGATCATACCATGAAAAATAATACGTGTAGCTGTGGTATCAGTGCTAATCATAGACATCCTCAGCGATACCTATTACATGCTGACGCAGTAGGTGCGAGTTTAAACGCAGAACTCTCTGACATCACGCACCTAGACAAGAAAGTCGCTGTCAGCAGCCAGGTTTAGGCGCTTGACCTCATGACTCATGCCATGTATGCGCGCAGCTGTGTGTCTGCGCTAATCATTTGTATATCGTCATCTTCCGATGATATCTATTACATGCATGTGTCGCGGATTGTCTCGCGCCGCGAACCTCCCCGCGCCGCGAACCTCCCCGCGCCACCGCGGATCGCGTAGCGCCGCGGTCCTCCCCGCGCCACCGCGGATCGCGTAGTGCTGCGGTCCTCCCCCGCGCCCCGCGGATAGCCAAGCGCTGCGGAATAATAAACGCTTCTCGACATCGTTCACCTTGATAAGAAAGTCATCAGCCAGGTTTCGGCGCTTGACCCCGTGACTCATACGCGTCCAGGTGTTCGATGACAGGTCAGCACCTAGATATCTGTTACATGTCACGTAGTGACAGGTCAGCACCTTGCATGACGTCAAGGTCGCGTACTCCTCCCCGCGGTCCCCTCGCCACGGAGTACCCCCTCCCCGCTGTCCCCTCGCCACGGGGTACCCCCCCGCCCCGCTCCCCCCTCGGAGCCCCATGGGTTAGAATCCCCCTATATACCCTACTTGTGTAACCGACGTGGCCGGTTGCGTAACAGGTGCGTTTTTGGTATCGTTAGAATCTGCCATCATATACGCTGGTTTGAGTCTGTCTATTGTTACGTGAACGTTTTTTCCGTTTATCCGTAACTTGTAGGTTTTTTCTGTTTTTGCGAGTACTTCATATGGGCCGTCAAATGTTGGCTGTAATGCTCGAGTTGGCGCGTTATGTCTTAGAAAAACGTGAGTTGTGTTTTTCAAGTCTTTATGTTCGAACGTTGCAGACGCTCCATGTCTTTTTATGGATTGCGGCCGTAGTTCTCTCATAGTTCGCCTTAGATTCGCGATGAAGTCACTCGTGTTGTTTGTCGTTTCCTTCGGGGTTTCTTGGAGAAATTCCCCTGGAAGCCTTAGTGGTTCTCCGTAAACCAATTCTGCTGAGGATGCCTGTAGATCTTCCTTGTATGCTGCCCGTATACCCATCATTACC